GTATCTTCTATAGCATTTGCCATAATAAAGAAGTATACTCTCATTTAATCCGATTTTTCCTTCTTCTGTGTTCACTTTTTAAAGGGTGATTAGCAGGTTGTGTTGTGGTTTACAGCTAGGCGGCATTGCATGTACCTTTTGGATTTCAACAAAATCTTAGTCATCTTTTACAACATGCTTAATTAACCCTTTCACCCAGGTGACCTACAAAAGACAAAGCTTAGCTCCCGCACTTCAATTTTTCAGATATTCCAGTGGAAAAAAATCCTTAGAGAAACAACAATTTCACACATATTATACACATACAAAATCAATTTATCATCCAAAACTGGAATTTAAACAAAAAAATTACAAAGAGTAAAAAGTGTAATTAATAAACATGAGTGCAACATAGATTCAACTGGCTGACATCTCTTGCGGCCTGTAAACTAATTATAATGTGATCACTATTTGCCTCTGTCACCTGACAATCTCTGCAGCCAATAAAAAAAAAATTTAATGTAGAAATATCTATCTTTTATAAGCTATTTTTTAATAGTCCCCCCACTCCCCTGCTATTTTGAGTAAATTTAGCCATTTCTCATCACACTGAACATTTGCACAGACACAGATACAGTAAATTTTGTTTGCAAGACGTCTCATAAACATTCTGAGTTAGAAAAAGCCGCTTTTACGGGGAAATGGTAGCAACCAGAGGTGTTGGTTCTGTGGCTTCCTGCAGCAAGAGTTAAGGGTCGTTGGGTATATTCTTTCTTTCTCCTAAAGGATGTCTGAATCCTTATGAGAACCCAATATACAACACGTAAACTACCCCACACCACAATAACTTAAGATCTCAAGAGTGAGTCAGAAATATGGCTATATGTTTAATTGCATGTGTTTAATCACATGACAATTCCCTATTATGGCCACATCAATGAGGCCATTGGGAAAGCAGTTCTTCAGACTTATAAATACAATATGACTCTTACCAAAAACAAAGAAATAAAGTTTCAAATATATGCGGTCCACTATTCACCTCTACAACGTGGAGCAGTTTTCCATTTGGTGGTCTGCAGGGGCCCCGAGAACATATTTAAGGGGTAAATTATATTTACCAACATACCAAAAAACCTCCACAGCTTTAGAATATAATCACTTTTGTGGTTCCAATGTTCAAAAATAAGGTTCTTCAGTAAAACTATTAAACTGTGTGGGGTCCTTGGCAGAACTTCGAAGAAAAAAAAGGAGAGGGAAAAAAAAGGGTCCACAGGTCTTAATTAATTTGGGAACCACTGATGTAGAAGAGTAATGCTGCATTCTAAAAAGTAGCCATATTTCTAACTCACATTATAGTTCCTAGGAGACTCCTTCCAGAAAGTGACATCACTTCTCTATTGTAGCAGATCTTAAAGTGTATCAGCAAAATCAACACAATTTTAAGTTGGGTCAATTAACATGTGATCCACATCTCATAGACAGAATCAATCTTACAGGAAAGTCAAACCTGACAGAATGCTCAGACACCGTAAGATATCCTTATATCAATGGATGTCCACGATCAAAGAACATCCAAACACCATAGAGCATCCAAATGTCAAAGGATATCCAAACACCAAAGGACATCCTAACGCCAAAGGACTTCCTAATGCCAAAGGACATCCAAATGCCACAGTAAATTGTTTGAAAGACTGGCAGCAGATATATTCACCTAATGACCCTGAGAAAGAAAAAATGGTTTCATAAGCTGAAAATTTTAAGGTGGCAACAATACATAGAAAGAACCACAGACAGGCAGATAGAGACAGGTAGGAATGGACAGGCACATTTAGAGAGATGGAAAGAAAAAATAGACAGATATATGGAGACATCCACAGACACAAAGACAGTGAGAGACATAAAACAAAAAGACAATACAGAGACATCAGTTCCCACTCTTGCTGTCTTTTGTATGCAGCTTTCAGTCACTGACACCCACATAAACTGAACTTCAACATTATAGACCAAAGCAAAAGACTCCTAAAACCGAGAAAGAACAAACAATATAGATCATATAAAAATTATACAAACAATAGAGATTACAAAAATTATTTTTTATAAACAATACAGAGAAAAAATAATCGCGCTAACTAACTTGCATCCTCTCAACCAAATTACATCGACCGCTCTTAAGAATAGCACGCGACTAAGTTTATTACATTTGCCTAAACCCAGAATTGATTTATTTCAAACAAGTTTAGCATATTCTGCTGCTCATTTATGGAATCATCTTCCACTCGGTTTGAAAACTACACAGAGTCCCTACTCATTTAACCGCAAACTCTTTCATTTTATGATTACCAGTGATTATATGCCACCATAAATGTAGTTAATAATCCACAATGCAATGTTTTTTGTTTTGTTATTTCATAAACATGCTTTACTGATGAAATACAACTGCTGTGTGAAATATGGGAGTTTGGAAGGGCTGAATGTAAGACGGATCTGCGTGGCTCCCCGTATGGGTTCCAGGGCCCCATTGTAAGGAAAACCAGAACAGACACACTGCCTCCCCAACAAGCATTATCATAGGAGTCGACTATAAAGTGGCAGTCGACTAATTGGGGATAGAAGCTGACTAATTGGGACCTTCTTCGAAGTTGGAGTGCATCTGCCCGAGCGGAAAGGAACAACAAGTTCACCCAAACAAGCCAGTAAAGCAGATGAACACACAAAACTCAGGCCCTAGAACAAAGCCAAAGTCCAAAAGTAATGAACAACCAGGACTTTCCGCCAGAGCTTACAGCCAGTGAACAGAGAAGATAAAAGGAAGTAGATACTCATGGCTAACCTTTATAGCTAGAGGCCACTCTGTCATCTATAATCTGGTGAACATGTCTAGCAATAGGGCAACCATAAAATAATATGACAAAAAAAACATCTTTTATATACAAATAATAACGATGTTAGAATCGAGTTAACTCGAACTTATTCACGACACTTTGGACACGAGCTGCAACTTTATCAGAAGATTTAAAATAGTAGGGATTATGACCTTTCCAATAAGTACCACAATTATCTGTGATCACGCCTGCAAAAACCCAACAAGCCAACAATGTCGCATACCAGCTTGCCCCAATTTTAAAACACCCTGCTGCCCCAGCTGAGATAAAAAGACAAATTATAAATACAATCTTTATACCGACATTAGGTTATCAATGTCAGACTTGGACATTAACAAAAGAACACGAGAGAAGACTAACCACCTGTGAAATGAGATGTTTGAGAATGGCTGCGAATAAAACCAGAAGAGATCGAGTGAGAAATGATGTGATTACAATAACTATTGGAACCATACCCATCGTTAAATTTATTGAGAAGCAAAGAATGAAATGGTTTGGTCACCTAATGAGAATGGAACCAACGATGCCAGCATCAAGAGCATACAACATGAAAATCGAAACACCAAGAGGCAGGGGAAGACCAAGAAGAAGATGGATTGAAGGAGTCACGGACAACTTGAGACTTCATAACATCACGGCATATGAAGCAACTGAGCGCGCCCTGGCTCGGTTGCCGATCATCTGATAGACTGCGACGCCTAGCGGCACAAGCAGATTTTGACAAAAGAAAGAAAGAAGAAGACGCCTGCTACTGCCACAAGTGTTGAATTGAGTTGTTGAGTCAAGAATTGACATCACAACACCAGGTGCATTCCCATGCATGCTCCATCCTCATCTTCAGCAGCCTGTGCAGAGTTCCAATTCTGATGGTACCAGTCACAATCTGGTTATAAGTCCATCTTGCCTTTCCTCTAAGTGTATTGAGCCGGCCAGACCCTCTGGTTACACTCAGATACCTCATTCTCTCCAGGCCATAACAATCTTCTATCTCTACTGATTCCGTTGCTTGTTCTGCCACAAGTGATTATAAATAACACAAATCTCAGCCGGGATAACTAAAAAATGTACCATTGTTTGAAGCATTTGAGATCATCTTTATCATGAATGTCCCCACAACTAGTGCTCTTGACACTAGCAATGTAACTCGTGCATTTCCTCAGGCCCTGCATGGCCTAGACAAAATATCCATAATAATGTTTAAAAGTGAGACGACCAATTTTAATGCACTTGATTTTAGCCCTATAGTTTATGTTTCTTGCTGCAGGCAATTGGTGATATGCTGAGAACATCACACAAAGTCTGTAGCTCCACTGTCTGAGACAGCTGCACCCATAAACTAAATGATGCAGTTAAAAAAAAAAAAAAATTATTAAAAAAGATAACAATTTGCTTGACCACTTCTCAGTGAAAACCATCATAATTTATCTTATGTAAGATCCGCCGATTATCCCCCCCCCCCCCCCCCCCTGCAAAACTTCTTCCCCAGTTCTAGAGCTCTATTTTGTTGGAAACAAGAGTAAACCAAATTAACCCTAAAAAGAATAATGTAAGTAAAAAAAAAAAGTAAAGGTCCCTTTTTCACACCTTTGGGGGTATAGGGCACACGGAGCTAGACCTATATTTTTACAGACCAATCGGCACAAGATGGGTGATGTGGTCAGCATCATGCCGGCAGTCTTGACTTCCCGGGATTGCATCCGGATCCACTCAAGGCCGGGTCGACCTGGGAGTCAAGGTCATTTTTTCTATACAAAAGTCCATTTCTGCCAGGGAGCAAACCCACAACCTTCCGATTCCTACGTGAGCGTCTAGCCGCTACGCCACGGTGACTCTATACTGTAAGAGGTGAGTAAACTGGAGTTTGTTGAAATCAGATGTGTTTAAGCCAAAAGACACAGATGTTGCGGCCTCGCTGTAAACCACAAAGCAATAAGCCGACCATCCTTTTAAGGGCTAAGTTAGAAGAAAAATAAACTATATTTCCTCAAACAGAAACATCGATATTTTAGCCACCCATGATAAGACTGATTTAAAAGCACAGTTTGTGAATATGATACAATGGTAACTTCTGTGTATGGCAGCTTAGAAAAGCACCAATGACAAAACAAAACGAGACAGGTGCCACATACCTGGTTATGTTCATTCGACTCCATGAGCAAATATGATGACTAGTCCAGGCTCCACCATCAGCTCTTCAGGCATATGCTGGTTCTCACAAGACATGACTACCACAGCATGCTTGCCTACAGAAAATAAACACATGGGAGACCCGTCAGTGGAGACCAGCTAATGTTGTCTTCGACAGACCAGTAATTGTATGGTCTCAGTTCTCAATATCAATGTTTGAATCAAGGCTGTCGTGTCTGCATCTTTTAGCGCAACACATTTGACTTCAGCAAACCCCTAATCAGTCCTTGTTTGCAATACGAGAGGCTGTGGGTCTAACCACCACCCCATTAAAAAAAAAAAAATGGGGCCCACACAAGACAGAAACATCAAATTTCTCATTTCTCTTCTGCCCCTACAGATCTGCGTTCCAGCGCTTGATGGGTGGCACTGGCTACTGTCATTATGTGTGAATGTATGATGTCTTTATTTATCAGTACATCTTCTCCTTGGATTCCCTATTGATCTCATATAACACCTTTCAGGTATAACACATTTGTTGGCAGCTGTTATGGCTGCATTCTAACGAGACAACTAAACTATCTGATGTGCATAATTTGCCACCTGGCATATTTCAATGCACATTAAGGTAATATAATTAAATAAGGTTAAGCAAAACAATTAATCCTTTCAACTGCAATACAAAAATCTCCCATAACAAACTGTAACTGTCTGACTTTTTTCTCCCCTCCTTCTTCATTTCCACTTATTAAAAAAAATTTTTTTTTTAGTTTTCAGTAGATCAGGTTCCGTTTCTTTTTTTCTCTGGCTCAACCACAGACACATTATACTGTTGTAGAGTTTCTTTATTGTGTCTTTACATTTTGTTATTGGTCTACCTCATGCTTTATGCCCCTTTTCTATTTTGGCGCATATCTTCTATAGTATGGCATCACAAGGTTTTCTCTCTATGTGGGCATTCTCTTCTTCTTCTTTTGTAGACTCACACACAGGGGTGGCGTCTATGGCTTAGTGAGAATGTGCTCTATAATGTCGGGTTCGATCCCAGCTGCAGATGATTTGTCTTGCGTTAGTTTCGACAGTGGTACCGAGAGCTAGCTATTCAGGAGCAATGGCAAACTACTGAACATAAAATTTGCCAAGACAAACCACAACAGCCAAAAATTGCTGGAGTTGGTTCTGCAACATCCTGTAAAGGATATACAACTAAAGTTACTAACACAGACATACCAGGAATTCGTTTAGTAATGTAGTTTTCATACTGCCGACGGTTTAACTGTCTGGTCTCTAAAGTGTTGAGTCCATTGGGCCACTTGCGTTCATGAGCATTCTCCATCAACTCACTGACAACATGCGAGGGGCACCCACTCTCAATCAGTGCTCTCTTTATGACTGCTTGCAGCACAGCATCTGGAGTGGAGATCATGCCGCCCCATCTTGTTACCCGAGCAGGTTGCAGACTGTTGACCCACCTGCATCAAGAAAAAGAATAAATCACACTAGTCATATTTTCTTCTTCTATCTTTTCTTTCTCCCAGCCAGTAGTTTTCAAATCAGAAAGTCACAGACTTCTACGGAGGCTGTTGTGTGACATGTGCCCTCTATTAATCCATACAGCACAATTGATTTTGCAGCCATATGTACACAAAATTTAAAACTCGTAAATCAGCCATGTGCACATCCTCCAAGACTGTCCCAAACATGAAATTTTCCAGGCAACATTTTTGGCCAAGAGAGACACAAGAGGAAGGCAAACTTTAAGGACCACTAGGGAATTAGAAAAGAAAGTGAAGTTCATACTAGACACAGCATTGCAGATATAGTAAATTTATTTCAAGCAAACAGAAGAAGAAGATCCATACAGTCTGAATTCTACCGGAGTACTAACTGGCCAGATCTGGGGTCTCTCTAATGCATGTAAAGAGCAGATCTGCAGTATATGTTCAGAATTCTTTGGTGCCTCTCCTTACATGGGTAATGTACTTAATCTTGAATTTCTTGTGTGCATGTCTGCAAAATCTTCAGCTGTGTCCATTTAACTATATAATGGTATGTTGCTTTTGTGACAGGAGTTGGGACATATGATTATACTGATACATGAGGAGCTGCTTGTCTGGTGGCCTCAAGGTCTTTGGATCAAATCTACATGGAGGCAGTTAGATTTTTATAACTGACCTTGACTCTCAGGCTGACCCTACTTAAAATGAGTACCAGGTAAATATAGAGGAAAGTAAAAGCAGAGCAGTCAATAAGATGCTGACTATATTACAAATCAAGTGCTGATTAGTCTATAACATGTGTGGGTCTAGCACCCTATGTGTGACATATCAATGGCATGCAATGGGTCCCTCACTTTACCTACAGCACACAAAGTGTTATAAATAGGTTAACATTTTCATATTTCAAAGACCATAGTCCAGAAATGGAAGAACAATCAGAACTTTTAATCAGAGTTTACAGCTGATGAACGTGAAAAGATAAGAAATGATTTTCTCATTTCATGTTTTCATTCATTACATCTTTTTGGTATACATATTTTACTGATAAATAGCCCAAATTCCTCCAAACAGATATCCGGTCTGCATAGAAAATGGAATCAAATAATAACTAAAAATGATTTTAAAATTATGAACACAGCAAAATTCCAAAAGAAGGTTGCTGGTTTAGATGGTATCCTAACAGAAGCTAGTAAAGCCAACGGGCAGAAACTGCTGTTAACAATTTATTCCTACAATCATCATAAAAGAATGATAATGATGGTCTCTTGTCTATAACGTGTTAACATCCACGTCTTATCTACAATGACATCTCATAACTTATTAATGATGTATTAAGATATCTCACATAGCTATGAAAGCATTACCAAAGGAATTGTCCAATAACATATACTTACCGCACCATATCCTCCGTCTCCATGGTTGTCTGTATCTCTCGGAGACGGGAGCTTGAGGCTCGCATTGATCTTAGCAACTCCTGGTTTTAAAAAAGTACAAACAGCATTGTATAACTGCATTCTCATAGAGAAAACATTAATATTTAACACTGATGAGATGATGCAATTAAGATGTTCCATTGTCTACTTCTGACACAAAAATTACCAAGTTCAAATTGAGTTGAGGTCAGTTGAGTAAAGAACCGACGCCACAGCACTTGAGACATTCCCATAAGTGCTCTATACCCATTTTCAGCAGCCAGCAAAGAGTTCCAATACCAATGTTACCAGTAGTATTTTGATTACATGTTCATCTCGACTTTTCTGTGAGCGTAAAGAGTCAGCAAGATCTCCTTGTCACTTGGCACTGATTATTTTCTTCAGACCATAATTATCTATTTGTGCTTCCACACTGTTCACTTGCTCCTACAGGGTCTTGACTACATCTAGATTGCTATGCATCAGTTCACCGCCAAGGGATTCTGGCACAGGAAAGGAAACAATGAAAAACCGTGATGAACGACAGTATTTATTAACAATCCGCCAGTATTTAACACTAGTGGGGTGGTACAGTTCAGCAGATAGTGTCCACTAGCATCTAATAACAAAAAGTAGATTGTACATTTCGGGCTCAAAGCCATATCACTCACACAAAAACTTACTTTTAACATTTGTATTTCCCGCTTCTGCTCCGTCAGCTGTATCTTTTGCTCCAGGCTCTCAGTCTGTAAGTCAGCAAACTTCTGCTGCATTTGAGACATTGTGCTTCTCAGCTCCCGTACACAATTATGGTCCTAAAATACAAAGAACAGGTTAGGCCATTTGTGACATCATGCTCCTCAGCTCCCGTACACAATTATGGTCCTAAAACCTAAACAACAGGTTAGGCCATTTGTGACATCATGCTCCTCAGCTCCCGTACACAATTATGGTCCTAAAACCTAAACAACAGGTTAGGCCATTTGTAACATCATGCTCCTCAGCTCCCGTACACAATATTGTCCTAAAATATAAACAACAGGTTAGGCAATTTGTAACTAAGGCCTGCTCTTCAATAAAATGCCTTAACAGAAATAATGGATTAGAGAAAGAAAAACTAAAACCATAACTAAACTTTAGGTACAAGTAACGTTTTGGTCTGCAAAAAAGAGAGTGACTTCCCTCCCCGTTCATGCCTCGTCAGGTAATAGGGCCGTTCTCTCTTTTCTTATGTTGTCACTGCTCACTTGCGTTATTATTTTCACGCTCCGCTAATTGTGCGACAATGCAGGGTTGTGGAAACTGTGATGTTTTTCTATTTCTGTTGGTAGCTTCTTTTTTTTTTCTAGGGGGAAGCCACCACCAACGAACGTAGAAATTAAAAAAACATCCCAGTTTCAATTCCTACGAACCATCGTGTCCGCAGTGCTTTCCCCTGCAGTATTTTTTACTTGTACACAGGCGCCTGCTGTGCCTCAAAGAGACTGTCAATAGTACAACCTCCCACAAACATTACATATGGCAATCTGAACAAAGCCATATCATAACACCCCCGCAACCTGATAAGGCATGAATGGGAAGGTAAGTCACTCTCTATTCCTGACCAAAGTGTTACTTATAACAAACTTTATCTGAATAGACCAACTGATACTCAGTGGGTGATATGACTAAAAGATATTCAATTCTTTATCAGTTCATATGCACTGAACATTTTATTACAAGGAATGTCCTTCTTCGTCTTTTTTGACATTCACCCTCAAAAGAGAGTTTGACAAACTGTATTCAGGTAAGCTTCAATGGCTGCACCTGTTGGCCCAACATATCTGATTTCAGAAAGCAATTAAGCTGCAGCGGGTGAACTCCACCCCACCTAAATGGGCCCCAGAATCCAAACGTGGACAAGTCAACCTTTCTATCTAGCATCCAGGGTCACAATGGTAGATCCCAACCCTTTCTCCGCAAAAAATGATCCCCACATAAACTCAATTAAAATTTTTGACAGGTATTCTGGCAGTTTACAATCACCAAAGTTGGCTTCAGGTAAGGCACAGATAAGGAAGTTTAACAGAGCAATGAAAGAATTTGTGTGAGATTTCATCACTGACCTAGAGCTCGTTCAACAGAAAGGCTAACCCTCTGTAAAGAGCATCACACAAGTAATGAACTCCTTAGTGCTAACAATCACTAGCAATCTACATGACCTGAATTATGTGTCCATGAACAAAACCCATGACTTTTAGTGCGTAATGACCCATGACTTTTTTAGCGCAATGCAGATGATTCGACCCCTTTCCCCACACAGACAAAACAACTAACCACAAATGGCTTACAAAGGTTTTTAAAGCAAACAAAACATGTGAATTTCAGAAAAAGACAAGTATTATATGCCGGGCAATAATAAAATGTTCTTACAGAATATCATGACAAATAGACAGATAAGCTGTAGAAGAAGCAGTGGCGGATGCAGAGAAACAAAGCTGTATTGGTATCAGGCGGTGGCATGGTTGATAAAGTAATCAACAGAATGCACTAAAATGATGGGAGAGACAGCACACCTACAAGCCATGCACACAAATATGACAGGATGTAAAGCTTACTGCAAGATACCTTTCCCTGTGTTGATTCTGGGGCCCCTTTCAGGGATTGGGGGAGGGGAGGGACCCACTGCCCCCTAACTAGCATATTGTAAAAAGTTAATAAGTTAGGGTTTTTCACTTTGAAGTCAAAGTGCATCTGCCTGAGAGGCGAGGAACAAATACTCTGCATAAAAGTAAACCAGATCTGTAAACTGGATGTGCACACAAAACGCATGTTGTGGACCAAGACTAAAGTCCAGAAGTTGGCAAACAAACAAAACTTTTCACTGGAGTTTACAGCTGATAAATAGAAAGAAACAAAATAGAAAAATATTTGAAGTCACAATGACCTTCTAAACCGGCATTGTTTAAAAAAAAAAACCTGCATAGATTATCCCCCCCCCCCCAAAAGCTAGATGAATATCTTTTACAGGCTGTCGCGTGCAGATTTGCACTAAAAGGCACCAGTACCGAGTGAGCAAATAGGACATCAAAACAATATGTAATGTTGTTAAGGAATTGTAATCTAAGCATTCGGTGGATACACTCTAAAGGAGACAGACGTGTGGTCGTGTCTCAGTGGATCCTTGAGGACACTCTACCCCAGGACTCCACTAGAAACCTCAGCTGAAAGCTGGTACATTGTTTATTGCGTTCGACAAGAAGCCGGTAAACTTTAAGGAAGAATTCTCCAGGCCGAATCACTAAAGAGGGACATTGCCCTGTTCAGACTGCAGAAGAGGAGATCGGTGTGACCGTCCGGACTTACAAGGTCGGACTGTTGACCTGTCGTTTGAATTGAAGTTGTCATTTCGAAGTAATTAAGGGTGTGCGTGCGGTAGCTTGTGTTGGCGTGTTTGGGTGAGTCTTCACCAAGAGTCCTATTATTTGCAAATGTTCTCATTGATCAAGTGTGTCAACTGCGTTTCAAAGCATTGAAGTTCATACTGTTCTGCCACACTTGCCTGGTGACATTGTAATTCATTTGATGCCATATTTTATTGTACCCGATTGCACATCACACAGACATTGCAGATGAAAACCCAGCATTTTACTGGGAAATGTTACATTCAACAGTTTACCACCGCTTTCAGAACTATATGATGCTCATATCGTTAAATGGTCTGCTACCAAATCAATATACAGCTGACCCGAAACACATGCATTTTTGAATTGTGAAGCTGTGTTCGCAATCACTAAACCACTGACCTGTGATGAAGAAGATACAATAATAATAAGAAAACTCCACAGGGGAGCATGCACTGCAGGGGTCTACTGATCATCAGTAGAAAGATCCTTCGTTTATAATTGTTTTTTTTTGGGCCCATTAATTCCTTTACAATCTCAGAAGGGGAGCCCGACCTAGGTCATGACTCCAGGCCTCGATCTTCCCTTGCTGCACTTTACCAGACTTGACAGGGACAAGAGCATATGGTGACTTTGCAGCAGGTGCTGTGAGATTGGGTGTTATATTGTCAATAATATCTTACCTTCATTTCATCTTTGGGTACAATGAGCCCACACCCTTTGTCACAATGCACAGGTTTCTTGGGATTAAACTCACAGTCTTGAAGGTGGGATGGCAAAGCATCTAACTTCACTATTACTAGACAGCCATGTAGCTGTAGATGGAGAACACAACATAGACATATAAACACTGTGAATAGTTTTACAGAGTTAAAAACCAACAAGAAAACATACACTGTCATTATTTATACATCTTCTTTTGTCTACACACTGTTATGAGGTCTTAGCTCAGTGTCATGGTTTTCTGCATTTATCTTGCACTTTATAACTATATGGTTTTAGTGATTGTTTGGATTAGTTATATAGGGTGGACATTTTTTTTAATGTACATGATGTTTATTACATTACATTTTGTTTTAAATATTCCGTTATAGTTATACATGAAGTTAAAAAAAGGCGTAGTCAGTGATGGCATGTTTTCATTTGTAAAAAATATTGATTACCCAGAAGCAACAGAACTGTCCAATGATTGGTTGAACCCTAAGATATTCTTGTGTGCAACTTTAACAATCTCATTAAATGATTTTTAATGTCAAAATTATGTTTTTTTCAGTAGTTTCTATCTTTCTATCTTATTATTTTTATTTTGAGTAGTGCAGATAAACAACAGACCTATCCAATTGTTTTGACAGTCTATACTGTGTGGCATTTATCGCCATGCATGTCAACAGTTTCCGCCTCATTTACCACAGATCACCAATGATAATCAAGGTGAATCATAAATATGGCTGCACGCTTCACTGACCATGTTTTGGCTGACCGGGTGGTTAGAGAGCTGGGCTCTCAGGGTTCAAGATCTAGGTTCCACCCTTGGTAGGAGATTGAGATATTTCTGCTGGAGGCAAATACAAAAGTCCTAATCTGCAGTTTGCAGCAGCCACACCATGCCGCCTTCAATTCGAAGGCTCTTAAACCTGTTGCCCAGAGAAAGCCTGTTTTTTTTTAACTTTTACAGGTTTTAATGACATGTCTTTGTACGGTGGCCAATAATTTGGCACAAGTTGCAACTGCACACTGTGTAGACATGGCGGGTATGATTTTTTAAATTTTTATAAAATTGTTTATATATTATTTGAGGTAACAACATTAATTTGTCACTGTAACATTATAATAAACTTTTCATGTTGACACTTTACTCTCTGTGGCTGTGTTAACAAAATCCTTGTTTTCATTGCCAAAGGGCTAGAAAGCAGTCATTTCTTTGCTCTGTTTGTATTTTCATACAAATACACAAAGAAAACGAGCAAAATAATGTCTCTAAATATGAAAAATCAATATTTTCAGTGACTCAGGGGCTGTGATGATGCAAAATGCCTGTCTGCATGGTCGTCATAGGTTGCAAGCCCATGAATTAAAAAAAAAACTGATGATGGTAGAAGGGAATACTGGCCCAATTAGTCAATACTACACTCCAGACTGTATGAAACTAAAAACAATTTCGTCATAAGAAATCGTCTGTATAAATCAAGGATATAATCATAAGAAGATAGAAAGGGTGTCACGTACTACATTTTAATATATACTAGACCGTGTATAAGGTGTGACTACTGCCTTCAGTTATTGTAGATTAGAGGCTACAATGGCATAATGGATAGACCCTTGTCTGCTAGCACAAATTTCTTAGATGGCATAAAGTCAGATTGTTTAAATAATTGACCATAGCTGCCAGGTTGACCCAGCCTAAAATATGCATTGAGAAGTAAAACTGACCAACGTGATATTTTTACCACATCACTTATTGAGTGCCAACTGGTCGATAAAAATAAAGAGTCTAGCATACATCTTCTTCTACTTGGCATTCACCGGCTGTGAGCTCTGGAGGAAAATTCTGGTTTTTCATCCACTTCTGGGCTCTAGTCCTATTCCAGAAACTGAGTGCTGCGTGTACATCCGTTTCACAGGTCTGACTCATTTGCATGCAGACTGTTGGTTCCATGCCTCTCAGGCAGATGTACTCCGCCTTCGAAGGAAGCTCCCAATTAGTCGATTCTTATGACATGCTATTGGGTAGGCAGTGGGTCTATTCTTGTTTTCCCCACAACTGGCCCCCGGAACCCACACAGGGAGTCTAGCATACATAATTTGCTTGTGGTGTCGTTGATGGCATGTTTCTGTCTTCCCAGACAATAGTGTTATACTGTGATATGGGAGATAGAGAACCAAGTTCTTCCTCTCTATAGCATAAATCTTGGACAGTACTGTAGAGACCACCTGTTGCTCATGCATTATGATCCCTCGCTCGACAGGCCTTGTTTACTCCAAAGGAACTATAACCACTGGCATGAATATGGTCCTTTACTGCAGACCCCCCCCCCCCCCCTGACATTCATCACACAATGACCTACCTTATTATCACATGATATTGTTAGCCTAGAGAGAAGATTTCTCAGAATCCGAGGAACACTTTTCAACTGATTGGGTGTGATGGCACTTCGATCCACTGGACATGTAGGTTGTCGAGTCAACCATTCATGGATACAAGCAGAGCAGAATGCATGTTCACACTGTGGGGCCTGAATTAGAATTTTATTTAAAGTTAATCTTGAGCTAGAAATGGTTATATTTTTTCTTCTTTTGTGTTCAGTGGCAGTGGAAAGCAGCAGAATATCCTGGTTGTTCATCCATGTCTGGAGTTTGGTACTGTTACAGGTTGTGTTTTGTAAACATCCTCATTTCTGGTCAATCACCTCTCAGGCAGACGTGCTCTGATTTCAGAGGGAAAATGCCTTATAGTACATATTTATAAAAATGATACTTTAGCTAGACTCATATGAAAATATTTATGAAAATGATACTTTAGCCAGACTCATATGAGACTTCCACATTTACTAGAAACACTTAGGAAACCTGAGTAGTGCAGTAGCTACACTCTTGTCTGTCAGCCTAGTGATCAGAGGTTCGAACTCACAAACAGAAGCAGACCAAAAACAGAGATCAATAATAATGGAAGGACATGTAGTGAATTGCATAAGATGACTTTGCATTAAGTTTGTTCAGGGCCTATGCTACAACAGATGATAAAAACAAGAAACTTTAGGGAAAAGGTATACATACACACTGCTTGTAAAATTTTAAAATATATTAACTTTATCAGGTTTTTCAGAAGTATTTTCAACACAAGAAGCATACTTGAACAAAGAAGACACAAACAACAGATTACCTAGCATATTTCGCTGCATCTCGTCAGGTGCAAACTACAATAACAAGTGAACAAATGAAGCAAATAATAACTAAGTACACATTTACTCAAAAGCGACCGCATGTTTGACCAGGGCAAGCACAATGTCAGAACCATGTCTTTCTGTTTACAAACGGATGCAGGTAACGAATCGTTGTAGCTTCAAGAAATCTTAGCGCTAAAAGAAGCATAATAAAATTTTTTTTTAATTACAGGTGAGAAAGGAAGGAAGAAAGGGAAAAAAAAATCTAGTTATTTAAAGAAAATGAAAGGTCAGAGAGAATCAACATCTAAAATTATCATCCTGTGCATTAAGTGTTTCACCATCTCACAGATCATGTCAGTGCTCTTCTTTCCTCCAATCCATAATGTCTAGCCATACAGGTATTCATCTCTTTGCCTTCTCCTGATCTTTTCTCCATTAATCTTGCCAGTTGTAACCAAGTTCTCCAGTCCATTCGTTCTCCTAACATGTACACAATAACCGACCAACTTCTGAGAAGATTTCACAGTTTATACAGCATCTATGGGTAATTAATATCAGAACTGCAGGTGAAACACACAGAGATGGAGTATGCAATGCAATGAGGAAAGATCCTTTCAGGCAAGGGAACCGACACAAAGAAAACAATAGAGAAAGGCCCACCTCCTCATCAGCTCCCTTACAAATTCTCTAGGTGCCTAAGCTATGTTAACGCGCTTAATAACAATATATTTCAAATAATGTACGTATAAAGTAAGTAAAAGTAAAAGACTCTTTTCACGTCTTTAGGTGTATTTGGTATATAGGGCTTGACCTATATTTTATAGACCAATCGGCACTAAGTGGATGATGTGGTCAGCATCATGCCAGCCACCTTTACTTCCCATGACTGCATTTGGTACCCACTCAAGGCTGGGTTGACCTGGGAGTCAAGGTCATTTATAAAAAAAAGTCTGGCCCCCTTCAGGACCTGAACCGACGACCTTCCAATCCACAGGCGAGCATCTAGCCGCCAACGCCACAGCGACTCCCCAATGTATGTATAAACAAAAAATTAAAAAGTTTCTATCCCTGGCTCCCGAGTTCTAAGCCCCTACTTTTATATATGGGAACCTGACTGCAAGAATTACCTGCAATGGATCTTCCAGAACTGAGCTGCAGATTGGACAAATCAACTCCTCATCCACATCTTCTTCAAAGCGGTCCAGCTCAAATCCCATTGTTATGGCAACCAGCAGGCATGTGAGTATCTAGGCACATAGATAACATCAGATAGAAGGTATATCAGAGATGAACAAAATAGGACAGGCAAAAGTGAATTCTACAACAGGAAAAGAACATCTTAAGTATTAAATCATTGTCGCTGGCAGGCTGGAGGGGAAAAAAAAAGGGGGGGGGGCGGGGGGCTAGAGGCTAACTTACTGGCCCGATTTCCTTGGGATGAATATGTATGAAATCAGATTTGTTAATTTGACTTAGGCCTTCAGTCAACCCAGCCTAGAGGGTACTAGGCACTGAGAAATAAACGTGTGGTGATTTTCATATTACTTATCAAATAATGATTTGAGTCTAGAAGCATATGTCCCTTGAATCATGGTGTGAAATAGGGTCCTAAAAAACTGGAGGTTAGAAAAATAATTCTTTGTGCTACACATATCACTTTTAATTTCTTATTCTTAGCCTTCACTGCCTGTAAACTCTGTAGGAAAGTTCTGGTTGTTTGCCTATAGTTCTGGATATTGATTACAGATCTCCTCACTTATTTAAATGCAGAATGTTGGTTTGTCAACTCTTAGACAGATGCACTTTAACTTCAGAGGAAACATTCATACTTAGTGGACTTTTATGAAATGCATATTAGGAGGAAGTGTGCCTCTTCTTTAATTCTCCAAAAAGAAGCCTTGAAACCCACACACACAAGTTTTCACATAACAGCTGTGTACCCTAGAAAATAAATCAAAATTTTTCTTTTGGCCTCAAAGATAGTCTTACAGAGACGTGCTGAAGAGTAAGACAAAGGATGTGAAGAAGCATGAGAGCCCTGCCAGTAAGCATTAGTACAAAGTAAACAAAGGATCCTTTTCATGCTAATGCTGCATCAGACATAGGACGCCAGACCAATCGGTACTTGATGGGTGATGTGGTCAAGATCATGCCAGCCACCTTTACTTCCCAGGATATTACCTAGTGTTCATTTGTTAGCTATAAAATTCTGCCTAGATGCAGATTGAAACCTAGGACCTTCTGGACAGCAGACTGAGTGTCTAGCCACTATACTAGTGTGGCTAACAAGCATGAGTGTTGAGCAGCCAATTTTTATGTACTGTCAACAGTCGTACAATTTCTTTTGTGTTTGCTTAATTCTGTATTGTTTTGGTTCTCTATATGTAATGTAATTTCTAGATTGTGCTGATCCTCACTATTCTCCCACACAGAGAAAACTACACTGTCCTACATCCACTGTACTACTCTAAATAAGAGACCCTTGTCCCCGCCTTCAGGCGTATTGGGCATTTAGAGCTAGAACTATATTTCATAGACCATTCTGCACTCAGAGGGCGACCTGGTCAACATCAAGCAGGCTACCATTACTTCCCAGGACTTTACCTGGTACCCATTTAAGGCTGGATCAACCTGGAAACCAAGGTCATTTTTTTTTTAAAAGCCCGGCTCAATTAGGAGATGAACCCACAACCTTCTGATCCACAAATGAGCGTCTAGCCACTACACCATGGCAGTTCCCCATTGTACTTTTTTGATCAACCTTATTCTCTGAGGTACTAAGTATACCTGCTCAATCAACTGGTTAGAAGTGTGTTACTATGGTCAGCCCAGCTAGCTTGTTCTCCGGTTTACCTTCTACTGCACCTCCTGATTTCCAGGCACAAGGATGGTACTGTACAAGTGTTCAACTTCTAAAATGACTCCAGTTTTCTTGCACTTAACCTAACTAGCCTTTCTGGACACTATTCATTCACTGTGCATTTTTTTTTAAGAACATCATGTTTCCGTGAAAAAACAACTATCTTATATTAATTTTTGCACCAAAGACATCATATGGCCTTTAAATTTATTCATAAATCTATAATTATTTAATGCAATAATGGGAATAGGAATTTGTATTTTTACATTAATTACTTTACATTTCAATAAACACAGTCTGTTTGAATGCCTAACAAGTCCACCTGCCTGGCTAATGATCTTAACTAGGGTATATTGTATGTGAAGTAGAGTTTATATTACAAGCATGATTCTGAAAATCATACTAGGACTTATTTTCATGTTAGGTCTTATTGTCAGGGAAAACATGATAGTACTGTATAGGTATCTTCGTAATGAAGTAGTTGAGCTCTTTGCCTCATGTTCTGAAGGTTATGGGTTCAGTTCTTCTTCTTCAGCGATCTCTGGTCATGCGCATAATCCACTGTGGGTCATAAACTGGGATGTCTTTTCAAGGTCTCTTAGGTTTCCCCAAAGCTTAGTTGTCAGTTCTACTGGGTGTTGTCATATGTTGCTCCGCAGCTCCGCCAGGAGAGGACAGTCTTGCAGGACATGTTCTGGAGTCTGTTTAGCACGAAGGCACTGACAGAGAGCTGTTTGGCTCATACCTAATTTATACGAGTGTTTATTGAGTCTGCAGTGTCCAGTGCGTAAGCGAACAACTGTGACTTGGTCTGTTCTGTTCAAGTGTTTTAGAAAATCTTTTTCGTAGTTATAACCAGTGTTGGTTTTCCAATCTGTTTCTGATTTTCTCTTAATAAGAGTTTTGACTTCTGGAAAACATAGTGGCTGGTAGGTCTGTGGTTTGTTACTGCCTTCCTTGGCTAAAGCATCAGCGCTTTCATTGCCTCTGCCACAGTGAGATGGAATCCACTGCAAGTGAATTTCTGCCTTTTTTTGACAACATAGCAAGTTCTTTTGTTAGACTTTGTAGTGTGCTGTCGGTAGGTTTGGACTCAAGGGCCTGTATAGCTGAAAGTGAGTCAGTGAGGAAAACCATCCTGCCTGCGGTGATTTGCAGATTGTTCATATATTGTGGTGCCATCAAAAGGGCTGAGAGCTCTGCCTTGTAGTTAGAGCAAGTTCGTCCGGTAGGGGCTGCTAGGGACACAGTAGTGGCATCTGGGTGTTTTATGTAAACACCTGCCCCTTCATTCGTAGTTGCCTCTTTTGCTGATCCATCCGTGTAGATTCTAGTCCAGCTGTCATGTGGGAACATGTTGTTGAGGTGTTCCATTGTGAGTGCTTTCTTTACTAAAGCGGGCTTAGCATCTTTGTTTCCCAGGTTCGGGATGGATGTTGACAAATTGAGTGTCAGTAATTCAGAGTCCCAGAGATCAAAAGATAGCTCTTCAGGTGTACATTGTTGGTTAAGTAGTGAAGAGAATGACTTTCCAAATTCCTTAGATGGTTTTAGGCTTGTGCGCTTTATTCGCTTTTCTGTCCTGGCTGCCAATTTTTGTGTAGTGGGTGGTTTAGCATTCTCTTCATTGTTTCCGCATGTAGAATTGCTTTTGTCTTTCTTCTTTCTTCTAAGGGGATGATGTTGGCTGCCTTTTCCATTTCTACAATAGGTGTAGATTTTATGGCTCCCAGAATTGTACACAGACTTCTATTTTGAATTTTGTCTAGTACCTGTTTATTGGAATGGGCTGCTGTTATTCGAGAGTTGGTCTGACTGTGCCGGTATATACCTGCTTCAAGATACAACTGTCTGCTCCCCAAGTGATGCCTGCCAATTTCTTCATTACACCTTGTTTTCTCATAGCTTTTTTATTAGTTTCCAATATGTGATGTTTCCATGTCAGACGACTGTCAAGCTTGACTCTCAGGAAGGTTGGAGTATTGGAGCGCGGAACAGCATCATTGTTGAATTTTAATGTAAACTTTTCCTCCGTTGTAGACAATGAGAAGAGTGTTGCTACAGTTTTGTTCTTGTTTACTTTGAGGCCCCATTTGTTGGCCCAGTTTATGACACTATTCACACTTTCCTGGAGTTTTGATTTGGCCGGTCCAATGAACTCAGAGGTGTACCACACAGCTAGGTCATCTGCATGAAGAGAATGTGATACATGTCTGGGTAAAGCTTGAGGTAGGTCGTTGATGTAGATCAGGAACAGGACTGGAGACAGTACACTACCCTGTGGTACTCCTGCTCTCAGCTTGAATCTGGGACTATGTGCTTTATCCAGTTTCACAGATGCCCGCCTGTGGGAAAGGAAGTCTTGTATCCAGTAATACATTCTGCCTTTTATTCCGCTATGTAAGAGCTTTAGCATCAAGCCATCCTTCCATACTTTGTCAAAGGCATTGGACATATAAAAAAAGACTGAGGGTTTTCTTCTTTTCCTGGAAGCCATTTTCTATGTCCTGTGTAAGGTATGCTACCTGGTCATCAGTGCTTCTGTGCTGTCGGTAGCCTGTTGAGTGATTGGTTTCTAGGAACCACTGAAGTCTGGTGGCCAGGACTCTCTTCATCAGTTTTGCGGGGCAACTTAGCAAACTGACTGGCCTGTAGCTGTGAGGGTCCTTCTTGTCCTTGCCACTTTTGAGGTTAGGGTGGATTATAGCATTTTTCCAGATATCTGGGACTCTGCATAGTTTCCAGCTATAGTTGTATATTTGGAGTAAGATGTTTTGTGCTACTGCACCCATATGTTTGAGCATGTCATTTGAAACTTCGTCTGGGCCAGGTGCCTTCTTTGACGAGTTTCCTCAGTGCTCTTAGTAGCTCAGTTAGAGTGATGTCTGTCTCCATGCATGGCTCACAAGAGGCATTTTTGAATATGGAGTTTATCCCATCTCGGACTGCTTTCTTTTGCTCCAGAGTTACTGAATATGAGCTTTCTTTCTCATAGTTTCGTGCCATCAGAGTCGCTGCTTCCTTCCCTGTGAGTAGATTTTCTTCTTGTTGGAGAACTGTTTTTCCGTGAGATGGGTTGTCATCATTAAGTGCCTTTGTCAGTCTCCACAATTTTGTGGTGTCTTTTCCCATGTTCAGAGAAGCAGTCTTTTCTTTCCAGGACTTTCTACACTGTGGTTCAGTTCTAAACTCTGTCCTTTGGCTCACATATGTCAGTATTAGCGAAAATCGTTGGGGTTGAAGATGGAGCCAGGAACTTAACACTTTCAGTAGGCAGACGGGTACTTCAGAGTAACAAATGACAAGTAAATGAACGTTATATCCAAATGGTCACAAACTGGACACGTAGGCCCATCT